GTTACATTAAATGTAACAGAAGAGTTGGATGGTGCTGTGGTACACCATTCGAGGTGTTCTCCCAAGTAGATTCTGGGTAGTTTGAGCACCTGCCCCATTTGAGACCGGAGAAAGCTGGTACAAATGCAGGAAAACATACAGATCATTCTCTCTCGCGATGATACCGTATTTGTGGGATGGAGAAAGCACACTCGGATAGCCACAGAGTTTTCACGCTTTTCCCTGTGGTGGGTATGCATGGAAGAGCTTATACGCCGTAAGGGTTAACCTTGAGTGGTATTTGCAACTGAAATCTGAGTGTGAGTGTTCTACGTCAAATTGAGCCATACTACTTAGAGTACAAATCTTCCGATAAAAACCTGCATGGGCCTCAAGGCGCCAAATCAAAACAATTGATTGATTTATTTTTATTATTTATTTTTTGCATTGGATTTTAAATGCGTATGCGGCTATCTAGCTATGAAACAATATGAGAGAAGTGTATAATATATGACTTAATTTAAATGAACACTCATGCCTCGGATTTCATTTGCAAGTACCACTGCGAAGTTATGATATCTTTTTCTTCACCCCAAGTCAACCCTTATCCGTGAATACCCACCCAGGGGAATGTCTCAAAAATCCTGAGTTATCCAGACATATCTCCATCATCTTTCAACTTTTCTCCGTGCGAAATGTGATCTGAGATGTCTCCTTCCCAAGTGGAGTAGGTGCCTAGGCTACTCAGACTGTACCAGAGAACACCACCAGGAATCGGACCACGGCACCTTCCATGGTCAGCTTGTTTTTATAGTTTCAGCTGCACTCTATTTATTTACAACAGGGTTAACTTGCGTTCGCCATTCGTCAAATACTCAATAGCGGCTTTTAAAATGTCAGCGTGTGTGCTATGAGATCTCGCGTGATGCTTGTCAACGCGTCTGTGGCAAGAACTTTCTTAGCTTAATAAATAACAATAATACACTCTAATTAGACGTAAAACAATACATACTAACAAATAACAATGATAGGTAATAGGTTATACACATCAGTCAACTCATTCCTGCCTTGTCATCTTTCCTTTGATAGCGACTACACGAAAAAATGGATGCAGAATCTTTGCACCCTACTAAGAGTAATTGTTTAACTAGCTTGTTGTATCACAGAGGAGTGTAGCAGTTTCGATATAGAACGCTTGGGCGTTTATATGGCAAAATGATTGATTTTGATTTCATTTTCCTGATTTGGCGCTCAGGGACCCGTGCAGGCGTCTACAATCTGTAATATTTACACGGGAGGAAACCCTATGGTGAAAACCCCCGGGATCTTTCTGCTTGTTGTCTTTAGTTTTCACATATTTTCTTCAGGAAGCGCAGTTATACTATATTGCCATTCATGTAAACCAACCAGATCATCTCTATCCGCCCCAAGCGTTATTTGACATTTTCCACTCCCTCAGCAGCATTTCGACCGCCTTTGTCATCTGGATTGCTCTATCCAACCATGATTTAGGATCCACTGTGTTATTCTTTCAATGTCTCCAGGATTGTTTATCATCGCTTCGTAAGACCGATCTTTGGCTTGTCTCCAGATCTCAGCTCTGCCATTTGACCATCGGGTGTAGGATATAATCCTATGCTTGTGTATCTGTGATTGGTAGCCATATGGATCGCTTGAACTGTAAACTCTGGATACTTATCTTCAGTGGAAATACAAGTTGAGCCCCATGTGCTTACTGCGAACTTGCATCGCCAAACTACTTTGGACCCTAGTCAGGCTATGATATAGAAAGAATGGTGAGTCTTGAAGACCAAATTTTCACTGTCCAGATTTTCTATTTTGGTAAAATTTGGCTGCTCTCCAAGTTTCGGGATCTGCAGTTGCTAAATGCAGAGGCTTCTGAGTTCGTTTCTGTTTGGCCCAAGAATTTGCCCACCATTCGTATGCCATAACTTTCACTATCTCTGTATCTATCTTCTTGGGTTGTTGTTCACTGCAAATTTCCGTCCAGAAGGCAAGATCTACCCTCCTGCTTTTTTTGTTCATTTTGCTGTCCTGTTATTGTAAATGCGAAGTTATGAGGGGCAGCATAGCTGCCGGTATTTTATTGCACATTCTAAATGATATGATTGATATTGCAGCAGATGAGTAGATAGTATATGTTTTGCCTGATACAGTTAAATACGAGAGAATCGCTTTTCTTATATACATGTGAATATACTACGGCTCTGATTGAAATAATTCAATGTAATTCTAGATTGCTAATGTCAACTTCCATTCTGTATCAACCTTTTCCATTCAATTCCATTAGCATTAGAATTATTTCTGTTTGTCTTACCAATCCTCGATATACATATGCAGGAGTTTCCATGCTACAATTATAACACCTGTCTGAGTCTATCACTATGTAGGAAATTCAGGTCCTCTCTGCCTACAGGCCAAGGATATCTATGCTAGTAGGATATCTCCTCCCATGCCTCCCATACAGCTCCCCTCAAACAGTACCACCCCTCACAAGTCCTCATTCGATCATACACTTAGAGGAGCCCTTTGCCCTTCATCATCTCCCCTCTCCAGCCAACGAAACGATGGCCATTTACGGGTGTATGACAGCCGGAAAAAATCACAAAAACCACTGGGTGCGGAGCTCTCCTAATACCGACGTTAAGACTAAATCCGAAGACAAAGTGACCCTTCCGAAGCGTTCGAAGAGGCCGGCCAGCTGGGCGCTGCAGACTTGTGGGTACCTCGGAGAATTCACACTCTGCCTTTCTAGCCTTCTTCCAACTCCTTCCCGAAGGTCGTGCTGAAACGTCAGAAAAGTCTTGACGGAGCGTGATTGCTGTATGGTAGCTTAGCCCAACTTATTTTGTACCGTCCAGGGCGCTAGGGAGTGTCGTTGACTCATCGACAGAAGAAGCCCTCCTAGCTAATTAGTCGAAATCTCAGTCTTGGCGCCCACAAAAAATCTAAATTGAAAACTCCTCGAAAATATCAGTCCCAGCATGGTCTTCAAAGACATGTTCCCCCTCTCGCTCCACATCTTAGCCGCCTATACTTCCTCAAGTTGTTTGTTCCATTAGAGCAACAGTCCCCACAAGCCAAGACCCAGGCTTTGTATTTTTCGACTTGATTTCCTCCTTGCGGGTATAAATAGCGTCGTAAATATATAGTGAGAGATGGCTGGAGATTAATGGGGCAAGCTCCTGTATGCAATTGGAGCAACTTCTTTATTGGTCGTTGAGGCGAGATGATGCGTGGTTAGAAAGAGGTTGAGGGCTTAGATGAGAATAATAAGAGAGGCATTGTCGAGAAGTCGTCAAATGGAGATATGCTTGAGATTGCTTTTTACCTCGATTCGGATGCGATTCTTCTTGGCTATCCCAGATATGCAGAGCATACTGAGTGATTACACCGGCACCACTGGATGATGAAGAATTAGTCTTTGCCGGCGATTCAAACTAGTTCTCTACTGGATGCAGGGACAGTTTTAGGGGTAAATGCCAGCACTAGTACGCTGGTAGAAGAGAGATCAGGATGAGGAATGCTGAATCACTATCTATTAAATAAATAAATAATTTAGTTATCCTGATTAGGCGCCTTGAGGCCCATGCAGTTTTTTATCGGAAGATTTGTACTCTAAGCAGTATGGCTCAATTTGACGTAGAACACTCACACTCAGATTTCAGTTGCAGATACCACTCGAGGTTAAGCCTTACGGCATATAAGCTCTTCCATGCATACCCACCACAGGGAAAAGCGTGAAAACTCTGTGGCTATCCGAGTGTGCTTTCTCCATCCCACAAATACGGTATCATCGCGAGAGAGAATGATCTGTATGTTTTCCTGCATTTGTACCAGCTTTCTCCGGTCTCAAATGGGGTAATTATTCAAGCCACTGAGTATCTATTTGTGAGAACGCCTCGAATGGTTTACCACTGCAACATCCGGCCCTGCACTACTCATTATAATTTCCTTTGTTCATTTCATTTCCCCTTTAATGCATTAACTGTACAGCGAGCTAAGGATTTCTTAGCCATAAAATAATTGTCAACGATCAGGGCAGGCTTCAAGATTAAATCACGGTCGGCTCCAACAGTCCTACAACTAAGATTCAAAGGGATTCGGTCTAGAACTTAAAACTATAATAACAGGATTGGAGCCCTCCTAGTGCAGGACAGCGATCAGGTAAAGGAACTTAACGAGCCTCCAAGAATTAGAGGCATTGATGTCTTTGAATTAGATGAAATACTATGTACTTCCTACTTGAATAAATTGTAATCTGCTGTCGAGTGCAGAATTTCCTTGGATTTCATAAAATTATTCATGACAACAGTCGCCTCGTATCTCTAGATAGACCTCTGCAGCTTAATGACTTTTTTATCCAGCTTAACCAGCCACTATGCTATCTACACCTATTTCTACTCACAACCTTAGTTTAGTGACAGATTTCGATTTTATGCGTATGTAAGTCATGTTTTCAATACCGTAGGACTTTGTAACGTTTTGTGCTTGAGTGGAGCCTGAGGCGATTCGGTAGCTCAGGCTTTATGAGGTTTATATACTCTAGATGGCTTTCAACCTGAATCAACCTGTCCCTTGCTGAGTAATAATTCTTAGACGTGCGGGGGTGCTTGTTACCTTGTATTTACATTAGCAAAATAAAACTGACTAAATAATATATTAGTAGATACTTCTATTATCACTGTTATTTTTCCCGTTATTGAATATTATCATTCTGTTCTCCTTGTCTGAGTAATTGATGCAATGGTTTCAAAGGTTGCGTCGTAGCAATATATTTTTAGAAAATTTGTGCTGAGCCTTGTGTAGAATTTAAAAGTCGTAGGTGTATCACAAGGGCTGGGAGAGCTGATAAGCGGTATTCACCCGTGCGAACAAAGTCTCGTAAAACTATAAACTTTCAAGATAGGTGGAGAGATTGATGAATTCTCCGGAAGTTGAAGTAGTTAAGAGAGAAAATTTAAGGTCCAGAATTCTCCAATTTCAATCTTCATGAGAAGTTATCGCGGCTGTGATCCGATGCCGCGCTTGGGCACTGAGCGTTGCTCTATTATTTGATTCAAGGTAGATCTCAATAGCTCTAAATCAGCCGGCTCGGGATTCCACCTCTCTTTTAGCTGCTCCCAAATTGATAGAGCCCTTGAGTTCCCTGTACATCTTAGAAACGCCTTAAGTACCCAGAATACAATTCCTCCTGAAATGAATAGATCGGTTCCTTCCGAGTTCAAGGCCTCCATGAAGGAATTAAAGACAAACTCAAGCCTTACACCCGTCCAGCTAGTATAAGGGATACCACCATGGATATAAAATCCTCGAAATAATTTAATGAAAATAGCACCATGGACAGGCAGAGCAAACCATTTCATTTCATCGAGGAATATAATGGTTTTTTCCAGATTCCCTGCCTCAACAGCAAAATGCTCAATTAGAAGCAGATAAGTAATGCTATCTGGTGCCATTATTGATTTATTTTGCAGGTCGTTTCTTTTCTGTATGTCCCCCTTTGCAAGCTGCGTTGCCATCTTGAGAACTTTATTAACTGCACGTCGGCATGTATAGCTTTTAGGTGGTAACGGTGGATTAGTTCGTGATAAATGAGTCTGTTTCATCCGTTGGTAGAGATTTTCAGCTGAATTTGGCTCACGTGCCTTGATAAGAGCAGATATCATTGCATTGAGGACTATTGTGTCAACAATCTCGCCTGCTTCAATGAGCCTTCTATATGCTGCTCGAACCCCATCTCCGTGTTGTTTCATCCCGAAATACATAATATTTGAAACATGGTGGTACCGATCAGGTTGATGTCCCCTCTCATCCATTTGATTGTATATCATTTCAGCCAGACTAAACTTACTTGCTCGGCATGCTACATTGAACAATATGTTAAAAGTAATATCGTCCGCTTTCAAATTTGTCGTTTCTTCCATATCTCGCCACATTTGGAGAGCCGCTTGAGTTTCTTTCAAAGTTACTCGGCGTGTGGATCCTCCAATGAATGAAATAGCACTGTTCCACTCCGAGAGGCTAAGTGGTATTCCTAATGACTTCAAGTCATCGACGACAGAAAGAAATCGAAACTTAGAGTTCTCATCTTTATGCTCAATGACCGAGAGGACATGTAGTAGTTTGTGTCTAGTCTGAGAGTCAAGATATTCAGCACGGGTGTTTGGAAGAGATCTATAAAGCTGGTATACATCGTCTAGGTCGGCTGGTTCAATTGAAAGCGCTTTTTTTAGATTATTGAGTGTTTGGTTTGTTCCATCGCTACATAGCCGTTTGTAATTCGAATATGAATCACTCTCCGTATCGGTATGGTCCTTACATTTAGGGATTTCGGAGAGCCGATATGGTGACCTGCACCCTAGGTCGGACCGAATAAATTCCGTATTTTGGCCATCATAATGATCTATGAGCTCCAATAGCTCTTTTTTGGAGGGGCTATCTGTGAGCTGATATTTATTAGCTACTTCACAGCCATGTTTTATGGCAGTTTTTGTGTGTATACACTTTAAGAACTCAATTCTAAATTTTTGGTTTTCGAATCGATTTAGACTTGGTCGGAATATACTGGAGAAGGACGTTGGGGGCTTAATAGAGCAGCCTTGATTCTGAAATGAGTTAACGAATGACAAGGCCTGCCATTTCTCATTTTCCTCAGTTATAATTGACTCATTTTTGGAAATGCAACCAGTCCTTCTGAGTTTAATGGTAAATTCTCCTGCGGAAGAAAGTTCAACGTAGTTGTGGAGCGCTCGAGAGCCAAATTTAGTCGGACAGGACGTAGGTATTTTGAAAGTACAGAACCAGGACATTAGCTAAATAGCATAGTTGATGGAGTTTAATACGAGTTACTTGAAGCGGCCTAATCATGGAGGGTTTGCCAACTTGAAGTAGAGTGTAGTTGAAAGTTCCTAAATTTAACTATCTTCTAGGCCGCCGATATATTTTTTACTGTCGGAGGTATTATTTACCGTGCTAAGGACCGATTTGCCTCAGGGACCATCCATCAAAATCCACAACCCTCCATTATTCGAAGCCGTAACGCATGAGGGTTAATAATGAGGGGTATCAATCTCCAGCCTGCTCGAGTCCATCAATTCACAACTCGACTACTTGAATCTAAGAGCATATCTCAGGAGCCACCATGGTATAAAATAATCGGACAGTTTCCCCCTGGTGAAATTATGACTCGAACTCAGCCAGTTCAGCATCAATCTCCAAAAGTTCATCCTCGGACGAGGAAACCTAGTAAAATGTTCAGGCCGCAAAAGATAGAGTATGAGGAAGACAAGCTAAGACAGGAATTTTACCGTGACCATCCATGGGAATTAGCAAGACCAAGAATAGTTTTGGAGAATAGCGGAAATGAAAGCTACGAATATGATTGGAGTAAGATTGAACAAGAAACCAAACAGTTGGATGGTGAAAGGTATTTATACAATCCAAATTAAAAATTTGGAAGTTTCCTAATTTGAATAGTGTCATACAAAGACAGCTATGGCTTATGAACAATGTCGATAATATGACACGAAGTATGGCTTATGATATTGCTCGTAAAGAATTCTATAATTTACGTCATACTGAAGAGATCGAGCGAAGGTTATCCAAGGAAGAAGCACTGTATACTGGCGCGAATTTTGGACCTGGACCGAATGAATGGGGAATGGGTCTCGAGAACAAAACTTTTGAGTCATGGAAGGAGTGGGCATCAAGGAAAATTGAAGAGATAGAGTTAAAAAGAGAAGCTGGTTTATATCACGAACTTGAGGAGGATACAATTGGAGCTCAAAATCCTTCCGAGCCATTACCCGATATGCTTTGAGATTCATCAGTTTCAAACTCTTCACCTTCTTTACATTAAAATGTATAATAAACAGTGCTCCGACTCTCAGTGTAACATATTAGGTCAAATATTACATCAATCTGCATATCATTCCACAAGAAACCCAGCCCATTGAACTTTTTTGCCTTTCTTATTGATTTTTCGAGCAAGAGACTCCCATTGTACTAGGAACCTGTCACAGATCCCAAGACTTAGTAGAAATCTTCCGCTTAAGCTAAGGCTATCAACCCTTGCCCAGCTCTCGACGTAAATTGTCTTCATTTTCCTCAGTGGGGACATGCCCGAGACTCGCATTAGCGCTGCCACCAGAATAAATATTACGGCAGTTGCTGGACCGTTGGAAATTATTACATCTGGATATCCACTGGAGGTTGCTCTCGAGGCCTTTTTTATTGATCGTAGTTCCTTCAAACACCCAATAGCGCACAATAGTGACGAAAACATTGTGGTGACCAGAGGCTGGTGTATTTTCCTTGCTCGTGGAACTATCCGAAGATCCCAAATTCCTGTCAGAGGGTCCCAAGTCTGAGGTGTTGTGGGTCCTGACGGTCTAAACTTTGACTGAATATATGTTTCTATTTCAAGTGCTTTACTATATGCAAAACTATCTCCTGAGGATGCAATGTAAGATCGGTGGGTGTATCTTGCTGGATCAATGTCCCGAAGAAGAGATACCATCTCTGATGAATGTCCACCTGATCCAAGTATGCCTACCAGATGCAAGTGGCATTTCTTAGACTTTTCGCAAGAGTTAATTGAGAGCTGGTTTGTGGTTATAGCCCGGATACGATAAATAATTACTGTTGTAATCGAGCATACGGCTGTGGCTACAAGGATGGTCGAAAGAATCTCCATGTTGACTTTAATTATGGAACAGTGGATTCCTTGCTCGGCTGAGGGTTGTGCATGTGCAAGCCTCCAAGGATTAGCGTCACTACAGGAAGGCAATGGTAGATCAGCCAATAAGCTGGAGTAATATGTACTGTTGTTGAATCTCCGAAAAAATTGAGTGCTAGAACAAGCCTGTACTTAAATGTGAAAGGCTGTGACTTACCAACTACATCTGACTCCTAAAAGTCATAAACTGTTCTTCGGTATTTGATGCGGATAAATTTTTAGATGACTTGTGTTTTTTACCAATTAAATTGACACCAGAAAGCCTACTATGGCCAGATGCCTCTCCCAGCTCGTTACAAGAAACTTCTTTGCTACTACTGCAACAATAGATCAGGTCCTTTTTACAGCGGTCATATCAAGCAATGGAAGTGTGTCAGTTGTGATGCCGTAAACTACCTTGATGAAGTATGCGTCTGGTGATAAATTTTCATATGCTGAGCTCACAATACAATAGAATGGCGAAATCACTGATCCTCCTGTGGCAACAGACAGCCCTGCCCCAATACCTGTTCGATATGCGACTTCACGCGCTCAACCTTCAACTGCTCCTCCAAGTATTTTTTGCGCACGATGTATAAAGAATCAACATCTGTATACTTCTTCTTTAGCCCAGTATCATGTCGATGTCGATATTGATCGCCAAGAAGTTGGGAAAGATAGTGATGCCTACCGGAGGTTTCGATATGATTTAGAAAAACGATACCCTCAAGTCTGCGAGGATTGTGAGCCAGGAGCACTCCAGCGTATGGCAGAAGCTGAAAAGACAGCCAAGGCCGATCATTTGAGGCGTCTCATTGAAAAGACTAAAGAGAATCGATTTAACAAGTCTCAAGAGTCACTCTTCAGCCTTAACTATGTCGGAAAATTACTCTGGAACCTTGGACTCTACGGACAGCTTTTTTGGAATTTCACTATGCTCACTATTGCTGCACGGAACTCTGGCAGTGATGTTGTGGTTAGATATTCTATCGTGATTGAGAAAAGTCTTCAGCCCCTTACCAACTTTATCACATATCGTGAATGGGCCCGGGCATTTCTTATTTGTACACTACTATCTACCTGGTGGTGTCCAAAGTCTAATGGGCTAAGCCGAAACACATCGAGAAATCTTTCTAACTTCTCAAAATGGTTCCAGCTCCAAATTTTGGTTGTTATCATGCGGTGTTTTTTTTACTGGATGATGGGCACTCGTTTCTTTTCTGATATAAACTCACCATCTACTATTGGAGCCCATGTTGCTATGTCTATTCTAACTGTTGTTGTGAGTTATGTCCTCCCTAAAACTAGGTATTTGGCTCAACATTTATAGACAGCTTTCAAGCTTGGTCATGCTACAAAAATTACTCATGGTCCATTATGGAAGAAACCCACAGAAAATAGACTCCTCTCAAACCGAGCTCAAAGCATAGACGAAGGTTCCGAGTCAATAGGCGACATTTTAGATCATATTGCCCGAAGTTCCTCAACACAGACTGCATCACCTAGTGTCCAGATACCATTACCTTCCTTAAAAAATAAAATTAATCATAATAACAATGAGCGGGCAAAATTCCAAAGGGAATCCAATAACTCTCATTTTGATCCGGTTAAAAACTCACAATCTACCACCGGTAATGGATTTTCTGGCATAAAAGCAGTTACACCGACGTCTTCAATCGATAGAATTTGGGATATTGGGGCTAATAATTTTCAGACCGCAGGGATGTCGGACCATATGGAAGCGAATCGAGTGCAAGATGAGACAGAAGAAATGGATTGGCAGTTAACACAACCTCAGCATATACAGACTTTTCAACCTCGCTCAAGAGTGATGCCCGAATTCTCCCATCCAGTGTCCCTAACAACTCAGCAACCGGCATTCTGGTACAAGCTACCCGCAGCTCCGGTCCCTCCGGCTACAAGGCTTCGTCACTCGACGATGGTCGCATCTCAGTCAGTTGCAGCGGATCACACCACCTCCCAATTCTTCTCACACCGCCACCCAGCTAGTGCCGACTCAATGCCTTCGGAAACCACGAATCCCCAGCGTGAAATTCACCTGTCGCAACAAACTTTTTTCCCCCCCGAGCGCCCCAGTGAGGCCGGCACAGTTCTTGCCGACCTCCTCACCGCTTTCTCTCTCCATGGTACCGATGATAAGAGCCGTGCCGCGCCAAATCGCGCCGGCTATCTCTCTTTGGTACATGCCATGACTTTAGCAGTTTCAGTTCCAGTTGTATTCGCGGTTATCTTTGCGATAGCACGAGTGCTCACTACATATTATACCCAGTATTTCAACCATTCTTCTGAGGGCATATTTTAAGTGGTCTAGATAGATAGAAGTTCTTAAGCATCACATGCACTTGGAAAATTAACCTGAGGCATAGTTGTTACATATGCAAGTGGTGGAGGTAGAACTCTGTATTCCAGTGCTTTAAAATTTCACTTTTCCTTGTCGCTGATGGGCATCATGTAATCCAAACATGATCTATTCTGAGCCCAGTTGTAATTACGTCGTGATTGTGATTTGCTCCTGACTTACAGGCCGCGGGTGTTTAAATAGGGTTAAGCATCGAATAACAATGTGCGCAAGCCTTATACAAGATAAGCGCCCTCGATAAATAGGCCCCCTCTCGAGCACGACTCAGCTGGAGTATTTGCTTCAATGCTGCGTGTATGTAACCCTGATGCGAGGCCTATAGCGGGTCATGTGCATCGTCATGAGCGTCCTGGTCAGGGGCATCAGCGAGTTCCTCTTCGTCACTACTCGTGCCGCTCCCATCACTCTCACCGGCGCTACCGGGATCATAATCTTCTTCGTCTTCATCGTCATCGTCATAGTTGGCGTCGCCGGCTGCAGGTAGAGTTGGCGAGGGAGCAGGGCTGAGTGCATCAGAAGCCGTTTTACTAGGAAGAAGTTTAGCGCGGCGCGCTTCATTAAGCGAGCCATCGAGAAGGCCGTAACGCGCGACGTAGCGTGTAATGTGCTCATAGTAGTCCTGGTTGAGCAGACAGAATTCGACCTCGCACGATGTGCCGTCGGTTGCACGGGCCTCGAGGCTTAGGTTGAAGGTGCGCGAGAGGACGCCGGTGATGGCGACGGCGATAATCTCGGCATGGTCAAAGTAGAGAATTGGCTTCTTGAAGGCCCAGAGAATGCCGCGTGGTAAAAAGAAGAGATAGCCCTCCTTGGAGCCACGGAATGCTGGCACCCAGCCGCTACCATCGGCTACGCCTGCGAAGAGTTTGGCGTCGGGCTCTGTTAGTGGAAGTGGATTACCGCTGGCCACCAAGCGTTCGCGCACGACTGTGCTGAATAAGCCACAAAAGTCATCGCTCAGCTCAATAGCTGTAGCTGCGTCACGACCTGCCAGCAGACTTGGCTGCGGCGTCTGCAGTGGGATTGTAAAGACGATGGGCTCGGGAGAGGGTACAGCGCGCGCTGACGCTCCCTTGGGTTGGAGGCGACAGGCCTGGCGCGGCATGAGCAACATAGCCTGCTGTGGCCGACTCTTCTCTGGAATCGGAAGGAGAAAGACATGTTCTGGGGACGATGCCGTACGCGTCAGTGAAACTCGGCCTCGTTGTGTCGATGGAGTATCGAGAGGAAAGGGCACCCACCGATATCAGACCATGCGACGCGCGTACCAGCTACTATCCCTTGCAATCGTGCATAGAAGTGCGTCTGAGTTAAGCCCACGGTGAACTTCTTGCGTTGAGGCATAATAAATGATATGTCGGAAACTTCTAGTAGGGCTTCTTTCGGGGGCGCGGCGCCGTGGCAGGGGTGAAGGATATTTCCACTGGCTACCGAGGCCAAAGTTGGCGGGCAGTCAAGCTTGCGCTTTTTACATTCTGGTTCGAGTATTGATGGTTCCGAAGCAAGCGACAAAATATGGGCAGTGATGTGGTTGAAAAGTTCGATGTAATGGGGCCCAACTTATTCTACACCTTAGTATCCGCAGAAAAGGTGAGATTTCAAACTTACCAGCTGCAGCATTACGAATGGCATTTTGTAGATCTTCTCGATTTCGGTATGCCAGTTGCAGGCTTTGTTCATCAAGCCCATTAGTCATTTCGAGGATGAATAGATGTGTTGTTAAAAGGTCCGTTACCTATGGCCGCAGGGCTCGGCTGCACGGTGGTATAACTTTAGGCTCAGGTAAGCTACCTAGGTACCTGTCTTTAGTCATCTTGAAATTCTCTTATCAGTGGCGCACACATGTCATTAGGCAAATGATGAAGGCTAATTAGAAGGTTCACGTCAATCATTGTACGACATTAATTGTTGATAAGTTACAGTATCGCCCGCTGCTAGACCAATGTATTGAAATTGTGTCAACAAATTGCAAAAATTATTCCTTTCTACCTTAACGCCTTCATCGCACAAAACTCGAAGAATCGAGTCGCATATCTAAGTCAAAGTCATACATTCATCAAACTGTTCAAGAAAGCCTCCGTATCCCACCTTTCCCCTAGAAAATCAAGGCTCCAATAAAAGATTACAAGGTATTCGGAAAGCCACAAAGTTATTCTTAAGAGATTCATGCATCTGAGCCGCACAGGGATGGATCTATTTCCATTTCATTGGTGCCTGAAGTCAATTTGACGCTAAACTTTTCTATGATCTGCTCATACCACTGGCCATGCGCTTCACGGTCAACAGTGGCCACTCGTAAGATCTCATGGACAATATCGCCAACCCTTTGTGCGAATTCAGGTAATCCCAAGGTTGTGAGGTTTTCGCCGGCTGTGCTCGAGCTATGATGCTTTTCCCTTTCGGTCCTAGCGCCTACCCTGATAAGAATATGACCTCTCAGTCTAGTCAGGAGTAGACGGAGAACAGGATCTCTAGGCTCTGTTTGTGTTGCCTCAGAGGCAGTGATAGTTTGGTTCACAAGATTGCGGATTAAGGTTTTAGTAGCATTAGGCATACTCCGAGAGCTCTCTAGGGCCGCCTGGATTCCTTGAGCAGCCTGCTCGAAATTTTTTGTATTCTCAAGTACCGAATAAATGCGAGTTGCCTCGGTCTTCCAAAGCGAACGAACTTCTCTCTTCAGAAGGTTTTTGCATTGGAGTAGAATTGCCCCGCAGGTGACAATACGTATCACTTCGGTTCGAATCCGTAGAATGCGATGCTGGTCGAGCTTTAGGGTCTCCGGGATATCAGCTGGGTCGCTGGGGGTGGTGAAGGTATCGACTAGCATTTGCGAGTAAACTTTTTCAGCGGTGGCATCGTTGCAGGGTACCTTGATATTTTCGGGGTCCCGTCTTGATATTTCAGACATCACTTTTTGCCGTGCGCGCATCCATGCCATTTCCGTCGAACGAAGGGAAGATCCTTGCTTTGACATTTGCTGCATGAATTGGTAGGTCTCATATTTGGCGGCATTATCTAGAATCAACGGTATCTGGCGTTGTAGGAGAAAATTGGCATAGTCTAGTTGTAGAATATCGAGGGCGTACATGAGGGCCTCTAAACGTGAGACAATATCCGGGTCATGAAACTTCTCCTGTGTTATTGCTTGAATCTCTGAGTCCCTAAATGGCGCACATAGCTTAGGAAGAAGATGGCCCATTTCCTCAAAGAACTTATCGCATGAAAATGACTGATGCCGAAGCTTGGTTGCGATAAGATCGTGGTCAAGCCATTCTCCAATGGAAGAGTGTAGGGGTTTTCCTTCGGTGAGCAACTTTTGGAGCTTAGCTCGTACATTTTCGGCCATAGCGAGTATCCATATATCAGAATTACCGGACGCTATATCTCTGCGCATATTTTCAAATGCCGATTGCATGACTGCACTCTTTCCGGCAAGAACATCTTCGCCAATTCGGTACTCTTTGTCAATGGCTATTTCGTGTGTGATTATCCGGTTTCCTTGCATAGGGGGTTGAGCAAATCTGATGGTATCGACATGTGAGGATGGTGGGTTTTGAGGTGGAGACGGCGGCGTTAGTGTATGTAGAGCAGCCGCCATAGTTTTCTCGACAATAATGAGATCATCAGTCGTTGTTGTGGCAGGCAGCGCCTGCTGTACCTTCTGTGGCGGTGGTATGCGTGACGATTTCTTGCTCGAATGCGATGCATGAGCTTTTTTAAGGGCTTGAGAGATTAATTGCTTATACCTTTTTTCACCGGCGAGGCGTTTGATTCGCGCCATAAGAATTATTTGATTGCCCCGAATACCATCTTTGTAAGATTCCGCTACCGCCTTTTCGGAACTGCTTTTTACCGATAGCCATATTGATTCGAGTTCGGTGAATTGTACGATTAATATGTTGATAAGTGCTTCTGAGTCTCGCGCTTTCCATGCGATGAATGCGGTGAAAAATGACATGTATAGTTGAGAGAATTCGGATGAGTTTATGGAGGACACGGTAGTATATTTTGTCTGATTAAAGCGCGTAAGGATTGTTTCGAACGATAAAAGAAGTGCTCGCGCTTTGTTCACCAGATCCTACAGCAAGTAATTAGCCACAAAGGAGACTGGTGTTAGGTTTAGCTCCTACCTGACATAGGTACTGATCTTGGGTCTTATTGCTGAGTGTTTGCGCAGGATGCCCAACTATCAGAAAGGCACTGAGAAAGCTCCTTACAGTCGCAATTTCCTGAACCGATTCTGCCTTGGCACCTTTGAGACCACACAGTCTCAAGATACGCGCCGTCGTGAGAAGTACGTGCTCTCGTTCGAGGAGATCAGTTATTTCATCGAACGATTTATTGCCGAGAGCCTCAATGCTCAGATTAAAAGCCTGAAATTCTTTGACAGATTTCCTGGCTTGATGAGCTCTCCATATCATCTGGATGCGAAGGGCTGCAGCATCTAGGCCGATAGTTTCTCGAGTTTCTAGAAATGGGGATGAACTCTTTCGCGACTGACTCAGGGAGCGTCCTCTCTTTACACTGCCGCCTCGATTAAGAATTTCTCCCCTTCGCCGTTCTGCTTCAGCTAGCCTCTCTTCCATTTCCTTGCGAAGTTTTCTTCCGTCAGCTTCTCGCTTTTCACGCATGCTCTCCGCAATTCCCTTGGCTCGCTTCACTTCTTCTGCACACGTCGCCACAATTTCTGCCAAATTCTTCTCCCTCGCCTGCTGTGCTGCCAAAGCCCGTTCCTCTCGATTAGTATTGGAGCGTGGCGTCGCCTTAAAGAAAGCCGCGCGCAGGCGAACCTTATCTACATGTGCAGCCCGATCGGCCAGTCGGGCCTTCTTATCTTCTATAATGGAAGCACGACGCTGATGCTGGGCGATAAAGCTGCTTTGCGGCTCTGCATGGCGAGAAACTGATTGGTGGGAGTGCAGCGATGAGGTTGAGCTGCGACGGGAAGATGCGGCGGATGATTTACGACGAGTCGAGGTCGGTCGATAAAAGCGGGCAGCTATTCGTGGCGGCGGGGTATGTATTCTATTGTCAGGAATTTCTTCTGAAATAAGATCAAGCTCTAGGGTTTCAGAGATCATATGGCCTGAAGTCTCGACGAAATCACGGTCTGAATTGAGAAAATTGGTGGAAGCAGGTGGCAACATTTTGATACAGATTGAGATGGGTTACTGATAGGTATAGGTCATTTGGAGGTTTGTAGTACGTCAAGTAGGGGCCCGGTCTCGAGACGAGGTTGGAAGGGCAAGAATTTGAGAATCTCTTGCCCTGAAGATCGAAGGCTGCCGCAGAGGGAGCAATGCGTTTGACTTTGAATGGGCCTGTTGGTTGAGCGGGGTGTTGTAGAGTCAGACGGATGATAATATTTGAGGAAAAGAAGAGGGAACGAAGAAGACTTTCATGTGCCGTACACGCCTAGTCCTAGAAGCGAGCGGTAATGGAGCATGCCAAGATCTCCAGAGAGCAGAAAATGGTGAAGATGGGTGTGTTGGAGACTCTTGATCCTACGCTGCCAGGCTAAGCGCGGGGCACGAGGTAGCGGCCGCTCCGGAAAATCACGGCGCCGGCTGGCATGGCACTCTAGAAGCGCCCCGAGAGGCGAATTCACAGTTTATTTTTATCGTACATATTACTAAGCTATTTAGCTATGATAAAATCTCAGTGTGTCATGGATATGGAATACTACTTTTGTGAATTCAGAGACACTCATGAGTCAGATTCCAATCGTAAATATCACAGCAGAATGTGATTCTCAAGTACAAGCAATCGGTTCTAGTCAGAGAATGCTCACCAACGGGAAGTTTTTAGGACCTTCGGTTTCCAAATATTTCATTCTCTTCCTATACACGAGCATCGAGAGAAATATTACATGGCCTTGCCAGATTGGAATTAACAATCATCTATCTAAATTGGGATAGGTGTCCGAGTTATTCCGACTCTGTTAGGAAGGCCAGCACAGATAATGTACCACTGCAATATCCAACCAAGAATGTCTGTATCGTGTCTTCTGAAATTTCAAAGTCAAAGTCGTGACGCGCATACTTTTTGATGTGAGGATTCTGTACAAAATTTTTGCCCCTTCGATATTGTATCAACCCTTAGTACCATCTCATACACTTATCACACAGTATATTATTTCTATCCCACAGATCTACCTCGCCAGATTTGTCTCGTCTTACGAGTATTCATCTTCTCATCAGGGTGTATTTAGAGGGCATTTGAAGCCAGAAACTAATCGGAAAAGCGAAGTGATTATTTAGATGTTTATTATTATGTCGTAGTTGTATTTTTAATAAGGCTTCAGTCGTTACCAGCCTTGCTAAGGATGAAAGATTGACGTGCTAGGGGAGCCTTGAATCATTGCTTCCAGGGCTAGCTTTTATTTTTCTGGTGTGTAGTTTAACTTTAAGACGGAAAAGTACGTCAATCGCAGTTCTGCTGAAGACACTACCGACAGTGATTAGTCCTGACCCTCGAGTAAATTCGCTCACGCCGTCGATAAGCCCTGGCTTGCGAATTTTCGGGCGACTGTGGGCACATTAGGAATTGATATCCGCAGACGCCATGGGCAATGCTACTGTATAGACGTACGATGATGACTACCGAGGCCGTTTGCGCTGCGCACCGGATGTCTGGAGCGAATGGTTTGGGGGAGAAGGACAAAATGCCGCCTTTGCGATCGCCCAAGATACCGCGTGACCCAGCATCGCTCTGTGGAGCATGTGAAGACGAGCCCGTCTACACTATCTAGTGCTGAGCGCGGCCGAATTTTGTCACATTAGAGCCACGAGAACAGACACCGATAGACAGCTGCATACGCAATTAAAATCTGATACAAAAATTAGAACAGATACCGATCATAGTCACATGGTCGAAAGTGCTGCGCCACATCGCGTTCCCATTCCGAGAGTGCTCAAAGACGACGAGGGCCGAGCATTGGACCAAACTCTTAACAGGACTGCGGCGTGGTGTAGAGGATTGTCTCACTTACGCCGTCTGAATAGCCTCGAAACTTACCTCTCTAAAAACAGCGCATTGTTGCTTCCACTTCGGCCTGACCTTGCCATATAATTCGTGCTCCTTGTACATGGGACAATATTGGCATGCTATGGTACAAAATGACAGAGAAATTTATCCCTCATCAGGGCTCTTTTTTTGCATTAGACATTAACTGCGTATACAGCTATCTATCTATGACACAATATAACAAAAAAAGTACAGAAAAGATGACTCAACATACAAAACACTTATGACTCGGATTTCATTTACAAGTACCACTGCGAGCACCCTAGCCGACCGGCATCAGCCGATCCAGAACATTGGAAAGCGGCAAATATATTTACTGATGAACAAACAGGCAGCACAAAAATGAATATTAAAGACACACCCTTAAAAATCCACCGTAACCTAACCAGGGCCCAAAGCAGTGTCACCATTCAGATAAGAAGCGAGTATATCGGGCTCAATTATTACCTGTGCAGAAGAAAAGTACCCGGCGTAGAAAAGTCAAGCTTTCAATGTGGATATCCGTCACAAAATGTTAAACATATGGTATTGGTATGTCCGCAGTGGGCAAATAGAAGAGGGAATTTTCTCCGATTAGCTAAAGACAGGTCATTTGAAGCAATGATGAACAGCCTAGAAGATGTGGTTGAATCACACAGTGGATACTAAGCAAAGGGTGGATAAAACAGTTTCGACTTACAGGGGAAGTAGAGGTAGCAATGTCGGAGTTAATAAATCGATCTGGAAGAGGAGAGGACTGAATCCACACTGGCTGAACAGTGTAAACTGCATTTCCTGAAGGTAAACTAAACAAAGTGATAGTAATACAAGCAGATAGGATCAGGAAGTGTTCACCAAATTGGTTTCCTTTGAATTTGATTTCATTATCCCGATTTGGCGCCCTATGGGTCCATGCAGGTGTCTACAGTCTATAATATTTACCTAGGAGGAAACCTTTATGGTGAAAACCTCCCACAATTGGTTTCCTTTGTAAATAATGAGGATAGATACCTGATGGACCCATAGGGTGCCTGGTCGAGTTGAATAAAATTAAATTCAACTAGCACTGCGAAGTTATAGTAGCTTCTTCTTTACTCCAAGTCAACCTTTATCCGTGAATACCCACTCAGGGGAATGTCTCCATCATCCATTAACTTTTCTCCGCGCGATATGTGATGAGAGGTGTCTCCTTCCCAAGTGAAGTAGGTGCCCAGGCTACTCATATTGTACCGGAGAACATCAGCAGGAAGGGGGACTATTCTCAACACCTGTCAGTGGTGTCCCCTACGAACCTCCAGCTCTCACTGTAGAGTCTGCAGAGCCGAGATTGAGTAACAAAGTCCTCACTTCGAAGAGGATTCCCAATCGCTTTCGCGGTCTGTATCGTCTTCATCTCTCAACACATTCCCCTATCACCACTATCATGAAGCTAACCACGATCAGATCAGATGGTAGGGTCGGAGCCTTACTCGTCACCCACCCTTGATCATGGAGGAAGAGCCATCCGATGAGTTTCCGGAGCGTACCCAGCACCCGATACGGAGATGGTGGATTGGATCAAGTCGACCTCGACTGTTACAAAGAAGGGAGATATAGATGAATATGCGCACCTCATGTGGTCTCGGTGTCTAGGCCTCGCCTGGCTGGGGCTGCAGGTTTTTTGAGACTTTTTCCCGCGCACGCAGTTTCCATTGCTACCATTTTTATTTTTTTTGGGTAGAAGGTTCCGTGGAAAAGGTGGCTGAATTCCACGGGTAAATACGCAGCTGAATGGCTATTCATCTAGGGGAATATATCAATGATCTTTCAAGTAACAAAAGAGGATAGGAGCACTGTACAAGGTGTGGCCTGGGTCAGAGAGGAGCCCAATGTGCTAGATAGTCATAGACTCAAGTAGTACAATAAACACAAACACACACACACACACACATCAGCAGGAAGCGAACCACAACACCTTCCATCGTTGGCTTATTTTCACAATGTCAGCTTCACTCTCGCAAGCGAAATCCTGCCGCACACAAAGTTCAATTTATGAAACTCCACATTAAAATTCAAAATATCACGCCAGTCAAATTTTTTTCCATCCTCTTTTCCGTCTTATGAACTTGTTCCAATCCCTCTCATATCGCCTCCAGGTTTGTGCGCAACGCGCTGCTTCCTCCTGCAGATATTTATATCGGCATGGGCGTGTATTTGGTGACGAGCTGAGGCTAGAGAAATTTGATAAAAGGTGTGGTCATTAGAATGATGATGTACTCGGTCGTACTTGTAGACTTGATCAGGCTTGGGTAGAAACGGATCTCGTTGGAAGTGAAAATTTAAGGTGGTGGAGTATCTTGAATCACTGCCTCGTGGGCCAACTTCTATCGTATCACTAAATTTGACTGAACTTGGCTCTGGTAGAATATTTCACTCCCAGACTCATAGAGGACATCGTGTACAGGTTTCCAGTGTTGCCCCCCCTGATCAGAGTTCGCTGACGTTTTCCTGCACCCAACATACCCCCGCGCGGCCTTTTCAAGCAGGGCGCCAATGATAGGTTTCTTTCAAACCAAATAAGTAATGAGGCACGTACAAAACATCTTGGCTAGTTCCCCGTCGGAGGAATAAAATGAAAATAAATTTGGCGATGGCTGGCTTAGAAAGTGTGCTGTACTTCTGCTGGCAATTGGATGCTCACAATTACCTTTGGTCCATTTCCCAAGGGAGCGGGTGGTTTTTTTCTATATCGTTTAATGTGTATTCAGCTATCTATAACTATGACACATGACCGGTGCTATGTATACATGAGGGATGACTCTTTTGGCGTTAGAGACACTCACACTCTGGATTTCATTCGCAAATACTGTCACGGGACAAGATATAAACAAGATACGTAAGATGGAATGTAGACAAGATATGGAAATCAAACACAACGTTGAACGCCGCCTGAAGACGTGAACGAGGACTACTTAAGGGTCTCCTCGGACTAGCACGACGCTAGTGTCAATAATAACATCAGTCCTCTCTATTCCTGTACAATTGTGTTACTATGACAACTAGACCTCCCACCGCTGCTTAGACATGCTTTCACCCTTTTATGGAGAGTCATGATATGAACCATGACAAATACCACCATGAGGTATACTTGCTTACACAAACAGTCTACCCTCCTCCGTTAGTACCCATCAAAGGGACTGTTCAAAACCTTTGGTTATCCAAGCATGCCTTCGTCATCTATGCATACCAGCGCCGCGAGAAAAGTGGTTGTGTTTTGCCGAATTTGAACCAGCCATCTACTGTCTCGAGTAGGATATGTGTCCAAGCTATCTAGACTCTACTTGGCAGACTGGCCAAGACGTTGTACCACCGCACCATCCAGCCATGGCAGTTTTTATAGTGTGAGCTGCACTCTCGCAACCGAAGACTTGGCACGCACAAAGCTCAATTTGTAAAAACTCCTTGCCAAAAGTCAAATTTCCACGCCCGTCAAGACTGTATCCATCCTCTGCATTATCTTATCAATCTGTCCTGATCCCTCTCACGTCCATCCCAAAGAACTGTCTCCCGTATTTGTGCGCCACGCTTTGCTTCCTCAGTCGGGTGTAAATATAGGCGTGGGCGTGTATCTGGCGACCGGCTGAGGCCAGAGAAAGTCGGCGAGAGGTGTGGTCATTGGAATTAGGGTGTACTAGGTCGTACTTGTAAACTTGATGAGGCTTGGATAGGATTCGGGCTCTTTGGGAGTGAAAATTTGACGTGGCGGAGTATTTTAAACCATTGCCTCGTGGGCCAACTTGTTCGGTATTGCGAAATTTGGCTGAACTTGGCTCTGGGAGAATATTTCACTCCCAGGTTAATAGTGGACACCGCGTATAGGTGTTCTGTCTTACCCTCCGAGCGGGGTGGCTTTCCGACGCGTTAATTCAAGCTTCTACCTGCAGTGGTAAATTAACGCTATTGTAGTCATTGTGCACGTCGACAGGGGTTACGCCGGGCCCCGTTACCCGGGCCGGGAGGAGGTGAATCCCGATACAGGCACAAATGCATAAGAGTGACAATTAGAATTCCAATTCGAGATATAGCTACTTTTAAGCACATTTTGTATCACTGGTTGATAAACGGGAAGTTCTGGAAGACTTGGTAGAGGCTGAGTCTCGACGGACGTCGGCTTTGGTGGTAAAGTTTTGAAGAAAAAGATGAGGCAAATGAAGGCTTATCTCCTACTCAAATTACTTTCATCGTTCGCCCGTCTCTCTCGTGTAGCTGTGAAAACCTTCATTGGGCGCGTCCAGGCAAACTGGGGACGAGCTTATGTTTTGGGCGATCGCCTGCGCAACGGGAAGATGAACGCATATAGAGATGTGAGGGGACATCGTCATGGTGCAATAATTTTTCTTCGTACTCATAATTCTGTGATATGATAGGCTCTGCAACCATCCGAAACGCCTGCACATAATTCCCGTCCAAAATCCGTCGTGTTTGTGCATCCAATTAAAACTTGACCCGCGCCATCGCCTAAATTTCGCAGAGATCCCCAGTAAATACCAAAATTTAATTTCCAACCGTCGAACAGCTTACTTCAAACCCGCAGCTTGAGCAGAATTCAATTCATAACTCCGTCCTACTAATCCCTCTCTGTCAACACTCACGAGCTCGTCGATTGTCCGTACAGGTCCTGTGAAAAAAGTCTTTCCCCCCACTTTTGGGCAAAAGTAGTACATAATACAGAAAATGAGGACAAATCCTAGCACTACAATTGCATAATTCATCTCATCACGTCCAGGATTTTGGTAGGACGGGAAGAGGAGGAGCACAAAGACAAATGACATCCAGACAACACTGTAGAGAGAAGAAATGTATGAAATCTTGTCGCCCATGTACCAAACACCAGGCACGAAGTTTCCATACACGAGTCGTAGAATCAGCGGCATGCAGTAAGCAAAATAGAGCCCCATAATTCCGAGGTTAAATATACTGTTAATAGCAATGGAGTTGATGAGCATGAGAAGACCTTCCACAAGGGATCCAACCGCCACGAAGGCTATAGCGCGCGTAGGCACAGAGCTGGATGAGAGGACGCGAAGAAAAGATGACCCTGGAAGACCATGATCTAGAGAGGTATTTAGTTAGCTGAAAAGAACGTTCTTAGTTCGATAGCCTGAATGACATACCACGCGCGAAAGCAAAAGTTTCTCTACTAGCTGCTACCAACAAGATGGAACAGTTACAGACGGAGCTGAACCATAGAAATAAGAGAATTGCTATACTCCCATGTTTCCCCAAACAGTTGAAGGCAATCTGCGCCAGAGGCTGGCCGAGCGGAGTTGTGATGATGCCTGGTATATCTGTGCCCATACAAAAGGCAATTGTTAGGACAACAGCCCATCCTGTAACGGTCCCAGCAACTAGAGCCGAGACCATTGCAAAAGGCACTGCTTTTGCGGCGTTGCTCGCTTCTTCAGCTATAGTGGCCGCGGATTCAAATCCCGAAACTACCCAAACGGGCGTGAGAAATGACATCATCACAGCCCATCCATTGCTTGTCCAAGTTCCCGTGTTCTGAAAATCAGTAAAAACAAAGCTGGGCGTATTCTTTAATTCCGGTGGGGTGACAACCAGAAAGGTAGTGATAAAGGCAACTAACATGGCGAGCTGAACAAATATGTAGAATAGGTTGAGCTTGTTAAGCACGGCCGTGGGATAACAAGTCATGCCGAAGGTAAGGAATACGGTTGAAGAAAACATGCCATAGTTGTGAAACTTTGTCGGAAAGTATGTTCCGTCTGAGCTGATAGAGCAGGCAGCACCCAAAAGGAGGGTAGCACCATAAATGGTGGAGGCGTAAATAGAAATATAGCCCAGCGTATTCATGTATCCTCTTAGTGAACGTTAGCGAACGAGAGCAGTGATGGAGTGGTAAACAAACGCAAGCCATGATACGAATGCTCGTTGGTTAGGTGGGGCAAGACGCGCTACCCACTGTCATTACTGTCAGCTAATATTTCTTTGATACAAGTTCCAGGATAAGTGCTTTCGTACATAGTAGAGGCCGCCCGATGTCGGCATACTGCTCCCGAGTTCTCCCAGACTCAACGACACTGGAATTAATGATAGGCATCCAATCAGGAAGGTCCACACCATTCCTACTGTTCCAGCGCTGCCGAGCGAGAAAGCGATTGACTCGGCAACGGCTGGTGCGATTCCCATGGACCCAAAACTCTGTCCAAAGACTGTGAGATATGAGAATTCACGCTTAAGTTCTGGACGGTACCCCAGCTGTGCCAGTAACTGATCATCAGCAGAGAAGCTTCCTTCATTCTGTACTTCTGAATCGCCAGATTTGTGCTCATGTGAGTGGTAGGTGACATTATCGGGAGAGAAGCGTGACATGGTACTCTGTGCCAAGGGAAGGCCCGGCAGATGTGATGAGCGTCTATCGATTTGGCTGTTTAGGCTGGACGAAATGTAATTAATCGTAATGTTAAAGAATCGTTTTCAGGTTATGGAATGCAGCATAAGCTGCTCTTGATATTGGGATGCGTTGGAAAGCTAATCCGCCCTAGTAAGCGCTTGAGCCTAGCCACCCTTGCCGACCTGGTGTAGAAGGCACAGCTTCCCTTCTGCAATTGGTTAGTTGTTTGTCGATGAGCATGGTCTTGCTCACGATCTATCCGCTATAGCTTAGACATGGGTGGGGACCCGCTATCTTAATATAGAATTCGAAGCTAGATACACCGGAGTCTAGTAGGGCTCTGATATCCTGGGACTTTGCTATGTATTCTGGCAGACACCACTACCATTCGAGACTACTTGACATAAACTAGCGGCTACTAGAGTTAAGATCTCGGAGTACGACTTCCACACACATCACGGGATAAATGAGATCTGTAGGTGCGTTCATCAAAGCCGCTCAATATCGACCAAAAATAGAGCGCCTGGAACTGGCGGCAACTAGATTGATAGATCAGCGCATTCCCTTGTTGAAGACTCTCTCTCACCTTAGACCGGATCACCCTTCTCTTTTGCACTAGTCCCCAGGTCATTTATTTTAAGGTCTATAGATGATTTCCATGATCAGTACGAGTGATGGAGATATAGGCGCGGAAGTGTCGGACTGCGGCAATATTGCATCCGCGAGTGTTGAAATGCCTTGCCCTCCCCTGTAGGCTGAGTTAGAGAACACGAATACAGGAGTTAAGGCGATGCGGGAACAGTGATAGGGGCAACCCGGTAACCCTATGTTCCGACGATCATGTTGCGTGCTAAGCATTACCGCATAGAAACCTTACAGATTGCGTGACTCCCCGTCGCAAAATACCAATATCTCCCTTCACAAGCAGCGCAAAAAAAGGCGTTTAACCCATTTGGACATGCTACGGACCCACGGTCATTGGTCATTTTTCTATCATTATCCCTTCTTGGCGGCTAATTCGAATCCATGCGGTTGTTAATCATGTCCACGATGACAAATGATCCTAATTATAATCTATGGAATGGTTTTTACACACGTTCGTGTCAAGGCCGGCCCTGCCTGCAAAGCATTACCGGTCCAATCTTACAGACTGGAGCCGGTAATCTCTGTTTAGTCCGTAGTATTTAATGACGTTTGAGGCTTCCGTAGAACAGACTGGCCAAATACGCCTACGCTGTGTATTGGACAAGTTAGGATAGATAGATACATCAAGTGTCAAGCTTTCTTTGTTGTATGTCAAAGCTACATGATGAACAGAGATGACTGCTTGACTTTTTATTACCCTTCTCGCTTTAGGCTCGAGATACGTCGATGTGTTGCGCCGCTTTTTCTGGTCTCTTGAGATAGCGTGCCCCGGGAATGACAAAGTAGAGCTTCATTATCAAATATCTCAGGGATGCTAGATCATTGCTGACTACTAAAGAGAGCAAGCAATTTCTCCGACTGTATGGCCTCTGGAACCGAAATGTTAATTTCTAAATAACAGCTTTCCACTCGATCGGTATTCAAGGCTCTACCTTACCGTATGCAAATCTGGTCGTCTTCTCTAAGATTTTTCTTTCTCCTCTGTTCCGTAGATACTAGGCTAGAGTTAGGGACCGTGTTACCATGTACCGAGGCTCACTGGTCTACTCAATAACTCTTTACCAATATAACATGTCAATTCGAATGGCCGTAAAGCCGAAATGGATATTCAGACATCTATTTTTGTCGCGGAGATCTATATGTCTCAAACACAAGTGCATTAAGCACGGGAGATGGCTCTGACAGTTAACTGAGAATTCAAATTACCCCTGAATCCGCGAGTGGGGAGAAGAGTTAGAATGGATGAAGTGGATGGGGCTAGTGACGAGAATTTGTTGTTTTGAAGGCTTCTCATCACGCAAACTTAGCAAAGGGGAGGGACAAAGGAGATAGCTTTAGCCGGATTGGAAGGCCCACAGCTCTCCACAGGGCCGGGGGGGCTTCGGAGGCGATATTTTTGGCCGCTACCAGATTACGAATCGACACCTTGAAGACTTGTCTCGTCGACGCAGCTGGTCTCATGTCACCAGCCTCCAAAATCAGCAATTCATGCATCAGGCCTCACGATATTAACAAATTTCCGTGCACTATCCACTAAAATTGACCGGTTCTAGTCCACTACACCAGTACATCTGTGAGAACTTGGAGCCCGTCCCAGCGTGCATCATGCAACTTTACAGGAACACACCTTTAACATACATTAGATTGAATTATTCATGAAGCTAAGTCTCTCTTTTTTCCGAGATCAGTCAATGCCGTTTCGACACAGCGTATGAGGATAATTTAATTGGGAAAGAACCAACATCGTTCCATGGCTGGAAATAGTTACGGAGAGATGTTGCTTAGTTCCAAAGAGGTTCAAAGACTGATAGAAGGTCATTTATATTTATAAACTCTCATTTACTCAGCTCAAATTCGTATGGAGTTTAGAATTCTCGGCCGGGGTTGTATTCAGAATGAGTTAAATATAATTATAATATCCCTTTCTATCTTTTGGAGGCGGCTGAATACACAATTCAACCGAATAAATAAATCAAAAAGGGAAATTGAGTGTCTTAATACGATAAATAATTCTATGCGGCTTGTTCTTTTCAGAACGGGGCTTGAACATTGCGATTTAATGAAAAATAAGATTACTACACATGGAAACTAATAATTTACTATTCTAGAGAATGAGTGCGTGGATCGGCCTGCAATTTTCAAATTATGGGACTAAGTAGGGACTGAAGATAAAGTCTGTCAACTCTAGCCAGTTGAGTTCTGCGTCGGAGTACTTGCTCTGGTAGGCTTGAGGTGGGGGTCAAAACTTAGGCACGCAATCGGATACAGATATTTTTGACGCTTCAGTAGCGTCCATAGACAGATATATACATCTGAACCAGCAACCATTTCCGCAGCAGCAACCACATTCTCAATCTCTGAGATATCACAGAGATTGATTCTATCATACTAACATTTTGCGACGTGGAGAAATATTGTTGATGTCGCGTTTCAAGCGAAAGGGGCCTAACAAATAATGACAGTTTCGAATATTTTACGTTCAAAAAAATGGCATGTTATATGCAGACGTCTGGTTGGACTTCGACAGTATTCGACTAGGGATTAGCAGGGGATAGACTAAGATCGGCACCGACGTGCGGTAGATCCCACGTTCGACGTAAACAGGCTTTGTAGGGTCTCAATGCGGTAGCGGCTTTGAGTCAAAAGAAGCGAGCCTACCGAGCGTCGTCGGCAAAGTCTGGGCAGGGGATGACATGATAATTTATCGCGAAGAGTCGCAGACAACGCCATGTTTGGGAATTCATGTACCCTTCCACGTAAGATAAGATCAGCGCTCACAGCCCAGTTGCATATCCTGGTTGATACAGCAGCTCGTTGAAGCGCGCACCTGATCTGAAGTGGGGCCCTGGGGACGGTATGGAGTAACTCTGCCAGTGACTGAAGTATACGAAGGAATTTCATGGCAGCATACTGAACATAGTGATACCGTGATAGTTCTGTAGTGCGGAAAATTCAAAGAAAAGTGGAGAGTATGAAACAAAAATCTTATACCTGGTGGACTGCCCAGACGGGAGAAGCGAGACGCCAGGAAGACCGAGCGAATGTATATGAACTCCTTGCACGACCATCGAAATAGTTAACTTCGAGAAAACTCCTCTTGTATTTTTGCTTGACTCACCTAGCTTCTCAACTTTCTGGTGCAGTAGAAAAGGTTGGAGATCCAGACGAGGATGACAGGCCGTGTGGCAAGCTTCTGGCATAACCTGGGGTCGGACATAGGCCGCTAAATCCTTATTTTGGTCCCTGGGAACGGGGCCGGATGACAGGGACCTGGCAGAAGTCGACGGAAGTTTGAATCTTTGTATGCGGCAGGATCTCGGACCTATCATAGGTCCTTTGCTATTGCTTTTTGGCTGCAACGTCGTGCGGGCGCTAGAGAAGATCCACTAAGCCACGTGGTGGTTAACTCGGTCAATCTTGACGGCTGAGTTGCGTCAAACGAACCAAGCAACTCACAGTCGACGAAGCGCCGGAAAGGAATTACTGAACTTCTAGCGGCGCCGATTTGATCGCACAGTATGTTCTGCATATCTGAGATATCCAATAGGAATAGTATCTGAATCAAAGTCAAAAGCAAACACAAACACAAACACATCTAAAGTCGGTGACTTCTCGTCAATGTCGGACTTATCATCTTCACGTGAGTCCTCTACCTCAACCTTACTACACATCACCTCGCCTCAATGAACAATAAAGGCGTTACTCCAATTGCAAACGGGAGCTTGTGTCGATAATCACTAGCCATCTCTCACTATATATTTACGACGCTATGTATACGCGCAAGGAGGAAAATGAATCATAATATAAAAAGTACGGATTCTGACTCATGGGGAATTGTTGCCTTAATAGGGCCATGCAAGTCGAGGAAGGATAGGCGACTGGGATGTGGTTTATTATTAATTCATTTTATTGTCCTGTCTAAGTTTATGACTATGTAGGATATGCAGGTCCTCTCTACCTACGGGCCAAGGATACCTATGCCAGTAGGATATCTCCTCCCATGCCTCCCATACAGCTCCCCTCAAACAGTACCACCCCTCACAAGTCCTCATTCGATCATACACTTAGAGGAGCCCTTAGCCCTTCATCATCTCCCATCTCCAGCCAACGAAACGATGACCATTTGCGGGTGTATGGCAGCCGGGAAAAATCACAAAAACCACTGGGTGCGGAGCTCTCCTAATACCGACATTAGGACTAAATCGACTGGGATGTGGTATTGGAGAGAGAAGAGATCTCCAGTAGACATGCTGGAACTGAAATTTTGGATTTTTCTTCTACATTGGAATGTTTGTGGGCGCCAAGACATAGGTGTTAGCTAACTAGCCAGGAG